CGCCCTTTCGATTTTATGAGAAATGCCACTGCATGAACTCGTTGAATAGGACTTACCTGGTGAAGGCTGTTAATGCGTAACCACATGAGAGCATTTCTAGGGAACGACTGAAGTCTACCAGTACCAGTTATTAATACTGTATTTCTGTGTGGTATATCAAATACACCTATCTAACATATTCCTGATCTGTTTGATTAATTGTTTCATCTTCACCATTCCTCTCAACAACCTTTTTGGCAATTACTGTTCTTTGTACTAATATTTACACCAACATGTGTACCGCCAAATTATAACGAATATAAGAAATATATTGTAGTTATTTAATGCTTTTCAATTACAAATGAAACTAACTTGGATTTCATCACATTCGGTTGTGTTCTTGAGCTTTAGTCTGTATTATCTTTTGTTTACCTTTTGTATTTTTAGGAATTTAATATCTCCATATACCATTCATATCTCATTCACTAACTATATGTTTAATAAATAAGTTCAGCTGGCTCCATTTGTCGAATGCAAACTATTCTGGTTTTGTTTACAAATTAGGAAGTAGAGAAAACTGAGGACAACTGTTAATTGTCTCTTTTGGTCGTTGTACGGCTAAACTGTCTCTCACCACATGTAAAACCCACTAATCTCGCTGTATGAATCTGTCACTACTTATGCTCACTTATGGACTAACTGTAAGATACTGCTACATCGCACTCTGTGACTATTTGTACATCGTTTTGGTTTTACATTTAGAATGTCAAGAAGAATTACTCATTGACTGAGTGCTTTTCAGTTTTTTCTTATGTTAATTTTCATTTTTTATAGCAGTATTATGATGTTTGTGTCATAAGATATAGTTGTAACTATTTTTACCTGTTGAAATGAATAGTCAGCTTTTCGTTACGAAGATTTTCGATTGACTAACTAGCTTCTTGTTTCATAAAGCCTCATAAGTACTATATGCTTTGGTTTCTTCCTTTTACTTAGTAGGAATATAGTATTTACTCAGTAGGAATATATTATTCTCTTATCTAAAGTATAGTGCTGAGTACTGCACCTTATTTCAATGCATAATTAATTGTGTAAGACATCACTGTCTTAATTTTAATTTAATTTTGATTACAGCTTGATTCCACACCGTATTTTCAGTACAAGTATGGAATTTTCAGCATGGATATCGGTAGCCCAAATTTTGCAGGCCGACCATGGATATCGGGTGTGCGTCGGCAGGGGATCAAACCCCGAACCATGTGCATGGTCGGCGAGAGTCCTAACCACTGTGCCGCCGACGCAGTCGAGAGTTAATGAGATCTGTTTAACATCTAATACTTCTGTAGTGCCAACTATGTATTGTGAAACATGCAGCTCATAATTGTCGCTGTGAAGTGGAGATTTTATTCGACGAAGGTTACTTTATTCGGAAAATTATATATACATATGCTTGCCAACCACACACAAGGTCCGGAGTTAGATCCTCGGCTGACACACTCTTAACCCTCGCTTAGCTGGTAGTAAGCCTGATCAAGAGGGAAGGTTAGGTTTGAGACTAGCAACCCTACCCTGTAAAATGAAAAGCATTACTACTGAAATTTCAGGCTCAAAAAGCCTGAAACCCAATGTTCCACTCAGATCTCAAAGGAATAAAACTTTAAAAATATATAAATAAAAATTATATTTACACATCAGCTGTGAAATTGTAGTTCAGCTATCTTAGTACTACAGTGTATACTGTCAGTCAAGGTTTTGTCATATTCTAGTTTAGCGTGGTCAAATATGTCCTACACTACGAAATCTTACCAGTTGTGTGATTCTCACTTGCGAAAATTAATGTTTTTATAGCAATGTTACCTCTAACTTAAATGACTAACCAGCTTAAATATAGAACTAGACTTTATTCTTAAAGTAGTCGTATCAATATTTCGAATAATACTTTGGATGGGGATGGATTTTCAATTTATTATCAGTTTATTTACATAGATGTAGTATCTCTTATAAGTCATTTAACTTATACTCCATAATGTATTCTGTTTCTGTCTTAGGCATATAATGCATGCTTATCAGTCTGTGTAAAACCGATCCATTTCATTTGTACCGTATTTATAAGATGTATTCAGTTATTAAACTACTGTGTTTACATTATTTCCTATCAACCGAAACCATAGTTTGCATCTTATTATTGAAATTCATTGGATTCTTTTATTTTTTCATTTGTCTAACAATTGAATTGAGTCTGTGACATTTTCATTCAATATTAACCAGAGGATGTTTCTGAAAAATAACTCCATCATGTATTGTATTTGGTATTTTCCCCAGTTATTAATGTATGTAAAATGATTATGTTCACGATGTAAAATTACCTACGGAATCCTTTCCAGTTCAACTAAAGGCTTCAAATTACTGAAAGAGCTTTGGAATTTTGACTGGAATCATTATCTTAGATCATAACTATTAAAGATGTAAAATAAAATTATTAATAATATTGAGTAGTTGATAAATAATTAATTAGTAAAGTTGATTTTTTTCCTTATGTGTACGGTTGTATACTGTGACAAATATTCCATTGACCATTCAAATAAAATATGTTTCTGTGCTTAAATTCATTTCATAACCGCGATTCTACTTCCTTGACAAATATCTTTATGTGAGAATTGAAGTGCATTGAAGGACTACTTAGTTGGTGTTTCTACTCCCACTGTTGCCGTTTGTTATACTCTATTCAGTTGTCTTGTATTTGTATGTTTCTATGTTAAATCATTGTTTAATTATGCAGTGACTTGTAGACTTAAAATCTATATATGGAATTAGATAAATTAGTTATTGAGGTTTCGGAGCGAAGGAATCGTTTTAGTATTCTATTTCGTAGTTTTTTCTACTATTCTCTTGTCATCGAGTTGTATGTTAACCAGTCCTTTTGTCCTAAACTTCCATACTTCATTTGTTGTCGATGCAGATATTTTCAGTTCCTCCACATACGATGTCCTCTTCTGATTCGGTGTGAGGAGAATTGAAAGAGAAAATTTTCAGCTGAATACCACCTAGTATGATGACGTTAAACAGAAGGTTATACTCCTCTCACTCATCTGGAAGCTGTGCACTATATTTGATATAACAGCTCACGTGGTGGGACCAGATACGTTATTGGCTAAAATCCTACCAATATTTGTGTTTTCGTTCCACCTTCATTAAATCAATCGTGATGACAAAACAATAAGTAGACGTAATTTCCGCAAATATGTGATGTGCTTTCGCATCCGACACCCAACTGGCTGAGATGTTGACATTGGTCATCCAGGTGTGACTGAGTTTAAAAAGGTTGTCTCTAACCTGGAATGAGGCACGACCTGATTCAATGACTCCAGAGGTGTTTAAAGACAGTGGTGACAAACTGTTGTCCGGGTTGATTAAGATATTGCGTAATGTCCTAGAATCAAAAATAGTCCTGTTAGACTAGTGTAAATCATTGATGATTGTCCTAGTTTATTAAAAAGAGAGACAAGTCTCCCTATGATAAGCATATGGGGGCAAGTATGCTATCTAAAGTTCTAGGTCAATAAATCATGCGTAGTCTAAGAGAGGTGCTTGGGAGGAACAAATCTGGAAAAACAGAAACCCGACGTCATCCTTATATGAATACACTATGCGTTTCAGATTAATTATGTCTTATTGTTTTAGTCAAGATTCATAAAGAGGACTGATTGCTTTATACCACTTTTATATCGGTGTGAGTCTACCAATTCAAAACATTTCAGGAACTGACTTCCTGTCTGAACAAAATCTAATTTATTTAGAGTACACAGATGATGTACTAGACGAAGAGAATGACCAACTACTGATTACTCTGGAAACAATGAGCGAAATTTTGAGTATGCTCAGCATCAGTTTACCTCTCAGATGTTGGATTATTTCCTCATGACTTGTCTGTACCAACTCCCAGTTTATGATAAGGGGCGATTATAGGTTTTCGACTAAATGTGTTTTCGCTGCATCACTCTTCTTAGGTGTAATTTCATATTAATGTATACTGTGATTGCACATAGAGTAGTATGTAAAACAGACAAATTGTTTGATTATCTGCAGGAGTAGCTAGAACATATGCGTGTTGAAAATTAGCTCTCTTTGATGACTATATTTACCAATTCAAGATTAGGTTGTAAGAAAGAGGTGATCAGAATGATACTCGGAGTCTTTCCATAAAGATACTGACTTTTGTTCAATGGCTGTTTACTATCACATTCATGCTCTTCCTTTGTAGTATATTTAGTTTGTTATTGTCTTGATACGAATTAGGGCAACTTCAGTCGATGAACGTGTGTGCATAGCTCCATAGAAAACTATCTCTCAGTTTATGAGATAAGAAATATCGTAAATTCACACAACCAAAAAGGTCAGTCAGACTAGCGGAGCACAGAAACCTAGCATAATCTAGACTAGTTGATTCGAATAAGATAAGAAATCTGGAGAATAGTTCAGCTATAGAACTACATGCAATTACACAAAACCATACAATAGGATGGGATAAGATGACAGTTTTAAAATTTAATGTTACAGGGTGGAGGGAGAGGTTGACAACGGAAGCTCTGTTTATCTGATCAACTGCAAATACATGTAATAAGAATGATTCAACACCTGTCCCAGACATTTGGAAAATTCTACTACCCCTACGACAAATGGGAAAGAATAAAGAAAACTATAAAACTTAAGTTTCGAAGTTGTGTAGTTATAATTGATATGATTATGGAGAATAAATTGTGTTAACTGTGGAATTACATACTACCACAGTGCCCATGTTCTACACATATACCAAAAGATCCTTCATATATGATACCCATCTTCTGAGCTTAACATTGTGGTTACTATAAAATTTGCTTTGAAATTATTCATCATCTGTATGACGAGGTAAATCGTTATTGTCTACAGTAGGTATAAAAGCTATAGAGACGAGGAATTTCGCATAAATTTTATGATAATCTAATCTATATGTAATTTTCTATTTTTATTTGTTGTGTTTCAAGGCATGTGGATTTATTCGGGACATTAGTAAATGTGAACCACAAAATCTGTTTACTTATTTTTCCAATTTTTCAAGTGATGGTGAGTAATGTTATTTGTGTGTTCAGATGTATTCATACCGATTCATTTTAAAGAAAACAGCTCCGTCACACAGACTGCTGTCAAACACTTAATTACATTTGCATTTCTGTTGATTGTCTCTATTATCTATTCATCCTGATTTTCCGTATTATAGCAACTTATGTGTCGTGTAAAAACTGATTTCTATCATGCAGAAAGTGCATCGGTTCAAGTTGTCACACTAATTGATAGTAGAAAACTCCAAAGAATTGAAACGCATCAAAAATGGTATTTTCAAAGACATTGCATTTCAGCATAGTGTTATACCCATGACTGAACTTTTCATACTGCGACACGTGCTATTTACAGAATTTTATGCTAGTTATACAACTGGATGTGTTCTAGAGTAGTAATGCGTTTACATTTCAGTCGGAAGAGGTTCTAAATAAAGTAGCGAAAATATGAGAAAGATTTATATAAGTAAACAGAAAAAACCAACAGAATTCAACGGATAACTTTTTTTTATGTTCGACGCAGGTATTATTTAATTACACTCTCATTCCCTTAACAAAAAATTTCACCTGCCCCCAAACGTGTTGCTTCCTACATTATGACTACTATTGATCAGAATGTTGACTGTTATTCTGAGATATTGTATCAACTAAACTGTTATTTTCGCAAAAGTTAAATGAAGCCTACACACAATCTTTAGTTTTTTTTCAACTCTGTACAACTATGTTATTTCCCATCGTGCGTGCTGCTTTAGGTAGTCTAATGTTATGTATAGTAGTGCGGCTCACCGATCTAAACTCTCGATTTACAAACGGAGTTCTTTGATTTGGGACTCTGTGACACTTACTTTGTTTTAGAAAACTGGATATTTCTTCACTTTTTATACGTTGTCCATAGCCTATTACATATACATGTACCGAGCATGCTCTCGTTGTACTTTCACTAATGGCAAATCAAAGTGTCAATACTGGCGCAACTAATTTGTGATGTGAGAGCTGCTGTAGATGAGGCTCTTATTATCAGAAATGGGGGTTGTAATATTTTTCTATTAGGTTACTGATCCTTTTCCTTTCAGCTTTGTTTCAAGCAACAAATGGTTAGCAGTCATGTAAATAAGCCAAACTCATATACAAACGATATGATCTGTTTTTTCATGTGAGACTTTTGTATTTACATGATGTTAATATTAGTTGGACAGCTTCCAGATAAAAATTAATAACGTTTTCTAAGTTTGCGTTTTCATAGTATCAAGTCTCCTGAAATACTTATTTCCCCTCACTTTATTCTGCAATAATAATTCATGGTCGCAATATAACCCTTCCATACAATACATTGTACATCTTTGATTGGATACTAGTAACTAGTGTGATGTATCTAGTCCTTTCTTTGGTACCGACTGAGTTGTATCAGTCAAGTTTGCAATTAAGTCACGATTCTAGGTAGCTCACCATCATGGTGCACATTGATTTGATGATATTAGATGGTTCGAGGCAATCGGCAGGAAGCCTTGGACCGAGGTTTCGTGCTAGTTGGCACTCCTCAGCAGGGCGTATCTGCAACCTTGAAGGAACTCATGTCCCTTCTGAGATTCGAACCCGCGTCACCCAGTGCTGCAGTCAGAAACGTTACCACTTAGCTATTCGGGCTCGCGATTGACCTCAGTGGTCCCTGACTGCAGCACTGGGTGATGCGGGTTCGAATCTCAGAAGGGACATGAGTTCCTCCAAGGTTGCAGATACGCCTTGCTGAGGAGTGCCAACTAGCTCGAAACCTCGGTCCAAGGCTTCCTGCCGATTGCCTCCAACTATCTAACATTGTACATCTTTTGGACATAAATGAATCGCGCTTTGATTACGTTGTTAAATTAAGTCATTTATAATATAACGTATACTTTTTTCATTTTCACGATTTTCCACCTTAAAGCGGTCGATTTATTACAAAAGATGCTTCACCTTGATCCAGATCGACGCTTAACAGCTGCTCAAGCATTAGCTCATCGTTACTTCGCATCGTATCATGACGAGTCTGATGAGCCCGTTGCAGAGAAGTTTGATGATCCATTTCAAGATGATAGTAGTGTAACATTGGATCAACTGAAAGGTACGTATATCATGCTGATACTCTTTTTTACACAAATATGGTAGGAGTTTATATATGTACATTATTATTATTATTATTGTATCCTTTAATAATATGTACATAGCTTTGCAAATTTTATATAACTGATATAGATGCTTATACTAACTAATGTTTGAAGTGTCTTATGTTCAATTTTCTCTCCTTATATGATTGCTTCCAGTCCATAAGTAATGCCTGATTTACCATCTATCAAATGGACAGCATCATTCAGATAGTTTTAAGAAACTCCTTCCAGTGAAAATTATTCCCCGTGTTTGTTGCATTGATTTTTTTGTTGGAAATTGTTAACGAAAGAAAATAAAATATATAAACCGTTCCTTATACATGTTGTGCAGATTGAGTCTTTTGTCCACTGGTTGTTAATAATAAGAAAGAATATGCATTTGTCATGTTTCTATTTGTTTAGAAGTCTAAATGACCAGTCTATTAAAGTAGTGGTTATTAGAACCATGGGTATCCATTCAGTATTGCATCCTTCCCAGCACATACTTTAAAGGTAAGTATGAGACATTGCCTCCTATAGTGATTTGCGACATCAAGTTAACGATACCCTCGAAAAAGTCACCTGACTATAATTTTTGGATGAAGAAGGACAGCAGGAGATAGTTTCTCTTTCTGAAACAGATGTATACATTCTAGTCATGCATTAGACAGTGCACTAAACGGACGTAAAAATAAGTGGTTGCGAAGCCCTTATGTGTTCAGCTTATGGGTAAGATCTTGAAGTCTATGAGTTGATCATGTATCATTATTTTACATCTTCTAGGGAGAAAAAAGATGCTAGAGCTTCACTTCTTTCGAAGAATGCTTCTTACAGTTGGTTGTTGTCACAAGTTAGTTAGCGCAAAGCAAGCGCGACAAATTTAATAGTGTTTTCTGAAATGATTGTTTTTCATTGCCTTCTTTGCAATTACTTTTGTGCTAAACAATTGCATGCATTCTCATGATAAGCATTGCTTAGTGGGTTGAGTTTAGCTGTTCATGCAACCAATCATATGAAATCGTTTATTACGCTATTTTTCATTATACTGTTTTTTAGTGCGACTCACTGTCTTCTTTTCTTTCTATAACAGAGGCTGTGTGGAATACACTAGAAAATTTTGTCCCTAACCTGAACTCCCTACACCTGTGTACTTCAGAGGAAACGAGTACGGCTTAAATATGTATCTTTTATACATAGGAATATTTTCTATCAATGTACTGTGTAAGTATGTGTGCATGTATACCAGTGACTTTTATTGACATCAATAAAAATAATGGTGATTATGATGATAATGGTAACAGCCTACTATACTAATTATCACTTTCCATACTACCCGACCAACTTTAATCACTTTAATGTATACTGATTATATTTTTTACAAATGAATTTATATATATATATATATATATATATTCTCACAAACTTAAAATTCTACACAAACGAAAGCACACAGCATACATTAATCTTTTTCGTTTTTCTCCATTGTCCCTTTATCTGCCTTTTACCCTACCTACTTTTTTTTATTAAAAGCCTCACATCCTGTGATTTTAGAAGGGTAGATTAGTGCAAGAGACAAGAAATTAAAGCGCCTTTATAAAGTTTGAAACGTATAACTAAGCAGCCTATCATATACATTTTGGTACAATTTTCCACTGTAAAAAAGTAAAGGAAAAATTCCTTAAGACTGTTTTGTTTTGTATTTTTTAACATTCTGAATGTGGTTTTTTTAACTGAAAGCAAGATAAAAAATTTGTTTGCTTTGGTTCTTGTTATCTTCAAATTTTGCTTAGCACTCCGTCACTTATAGAATTTTCTTCCAGCTGAAATGGCCACTGCTGTACTAATTGATGGCTTAGTGGGGAAAGTTAGACCACTATGCTAAAACGAAATATTTGTGCACATCTGTATGAGAAGCACTCTAGTTCTAAAGAATTCCACCGGTACTTACAACGTCCTGCTTTTTATTTCAATTTTATTTACATTTGTTCTATCTTTTTGTATTTTATCTCTGTTTCGAAGTTTCTATTTTGTTTACCTTCACCTTTTCTGTCTCATGTACGCTACTTTTGGGATAGTTCTCCTGTTATAGAATCCACCAATGATCTCAAATCCTCCCGAAGCACCGAAAAATCAATAGGTCCATACATGCACGTAGAAGAAATATTGTATGTTTAATTTTCGAATATCACATGACCTCTGTTTGGGTATCGGTAGCCTCATTCATATCTGTTCCGTGAAAAATAGTTGTCTCGTGTCTTGTCTCTCCGGATCGCATCATTTTTTTTCTTGTCTTTGGATAACGAAATAAGGTGTTTTTATCAGCCAACCACCAATTACCCTTACTCATGAAGTGAAGATATTTTGTGTTTGAAATTATCTGGGTCATCCGGTAAACAGCACTTTGACACCATGTCTTGGTGACCGTTCTTTGAGTTTACCAGTCTATTTGTGACATTAGGTACATTTTCAAAGTTTCCGTGATGAACTTATCCAAAACTGATAGAAAATATCGAACCTAGAAATTACTGTAGAGTTCTCTCAGTTCTCCCTTTCACTGCAAAACTAACAAAATACAATACCCACCTCTTCCACAACCTGTTGGCTTATTTTCAGTTCCTGCCGATTATGTTGACTTTTTTTAAATGGTTCGAAAATCTGCTTATCCTTTGTGGGGCAAAGTTTGGCGCGATTGGTCTGATTCCTACTGTATTATCCCTTATGTACTTCAGTGTTTCATCACTCGAAATTGCTTCAGCATAACTGATAGAGTGCCTAAATATTTCATAATGCATTCAGTTTGTTAAGAACTAGAGTATGACTCCATTGGAATGTATGTGAATCATCCTGTGTCAACGCTTTTGTCAACACTAGAAGTTATGATTTGCCAATACACCATGTCACGACAAAATTCAAACACGAAGCTTCAAAACTGTTTGATATCAGGTTAGCCGAACTTGAAATGATATAATCAAGCGGACAACAGATAGTTAATCTGTCCACAGCATGACAAAAATTCATTTTCAGAGTGAAAGTCAATTACATTGGCGACTGTTGTGCCGAAATATGGTGATACCATTAACAAAAATAACTGTATGATGTCTTAGAATGCCAGTTCTTCTCTTCCATAGATTTTCCGTACAATCCCTTTAACTGCACATTTTCTTTATGTATAAATCTTTTCTTCTGGACTGAGAATGATGCTGATAAATTTCCACTGATATATTAAGAGGAGTAGTGATTTTAAATCACTAACATATCTATGTCAGAGATTATCCTTCCAAAAGATGCGGGAACATCAAATATTTAAGATACTTTATTAGTAATGTGATATGCTTATTATTCATTTTAACTGAGTGTATCCCTAGATGCCTAACGTAAATTCATCTTTTATATCGCGAAAATTCCTTACCAATTCTGAGGAAGTGCTGAAGATGTCAAGAAAATGTAGAGTCCAGAGTAAACCATTGGATTTCGACTGCCTCATCCGAACTGATAGATGCTAGAAGACTTATTCCGGCGAGCTCCGAATTCAACGAGGAGCGAAAGCTGCACAAAAAGAAACTTACGAAAAGTCTCCGCAAGGACCGTGAACAGTGGTGGTTGACAAAGGCGAAAGAGATGGAAAAAGCATCGGCGATAGGCAACACCAGACAACTATTCAGGCTTATCAGGGAAACAGGTGGTAAAAGGCAAATGATAAGCGAAACAATCTTCGAGAAAAATGGCACCTTAATTAGCTCCCAGGATAGACGTCTGGAGCGCTGGAAAGAACACTATGAGGAGCAGTTTAATTGGCCCACAGCCACACTTAACCTACCGGACATCCAACACCTCCCTGAATGGGAGATAGACACAGGTCCCCCGTCCTTAACTGAGGTTACTAAAGCTGTCACCAATCTGAAGCTAGGCAAAGCAGCGGGACCTGATTTATTGACTCCAGAGGTATTTAAGTACGGAGGAGACAGTTTACTGTCTGCGTTAACGGAGGTCCTAGGCAGCGTCTGGGAATCAGAGGAAGTCCCATCGGGTTGGTGTAAGTCACTGATCATCCCGATATACAAGAAGGGGGACAAGTCTTCTTGTGATAATCACAGAGGGATTAGCTTGACTAATATAGTATCTAAAATCCTAGGCTCAATAATACTGCGTAGATTAAGTGGTACTCGGGAGGCACAAACACGAGAAAACCAGGCAGGTTTTAGGCCAGGTAGAGGGTGTATTGATCACATCTTCACCCTTCGACAGATTCTAGAACATAGGCATTCCTACCGGCGTCCGACAATCATTATATTTCTTGACCTAAAGGCAGCATTCGATTCTGTCGACCGGGAGGTTCTCTGGCGATGCTTGGCTGCAAAGGGAGTGCCAAGAAAATACATTGCACTGATTAAGGCACTCTACTCGTACTCATGCAGCCAGGTGAGGGCTTACGGCGAGTTGTCATCTGAAGTGGTGACGACTAGTGTTGTCCGTCAAGGATGCCCATTATCTCCATTTCTATTCAACTTCATCATAGACGTACTAATGGACTTAACCCTAACTCACTTCAGAGACCCAGGGATCGACTTGCTACCAGAGAATAATCTCGTCGACTTAGAATATGCGGACGATATAGTCCTTCTAGGCGAGGACGCTGACAAAATGCAGAGTCTACTGAACACCTTGAGCAACAATCTTCGTATGTTTGGCATGCGATTCGCCCCTGTAAAATGTAGGATGATGCTGCAGGATTGGACCTCATCGACCCCTAGATTAGAAATAGGAAGTGAAGTGGTAGAACACGTTGACCGCTTCAATTACTTGGGAAGTACCATCAGCCCCAACGGGTTGATCTCAGACGAAATCTCAGCACGAATACAGAGGGCTAGTTTCGCATTCGCCAGTTTTCGCCGTCTCTGGCGTAGACGCGATATCCGACTATCGACCAAAGGGCGTGTGTACTGCTCAACAGTCCGCTCCGTCCTCCTTTATGGCTGTGAGACCTGGCCATTGAGAGCAGAAGACATGAAAAGATTAGCTGTCTTCGATCATAGGTGTCTGCGCTCTATCTCCCGCGTGAAGTGGTATAATAAGGTGAGCAATATTGAGGTTAGGCGTCGAGTGCTAGGTAAAGCGGGGAAATCAATCGATGAGACTGTGAAATTACATCGACTGAGATGGTTGGGACATGTGTTACGTATGCCTAGTCATCGCCTCCCTCGACGGGCAATGTTAGCTGACATAGGGCCAGGCTGGAAAAGAGCTAGCGGCGGTCAAACCAAAACATGGCACCAATCAATGAAATCCACAACAGTTAGTCTAAGTCACGTAGGGAGGTAGACTTCCTGGTTGGGGTCCTCGGGATGGTAAAAACAAATGGTTGGAAACAATTGGTGACATGGCTCAAAATCATTCTCAGTGGCGCAGATGCATCCACTCCTTGTGACTTATGATTTCCGATGAAACTGTTTTGTTCTTCGCTATTACTACTCCTTTGTCTCACACCTGTGTTTACTGTCTATATTATGCATTTCTTCTAATTCCTTCTCTTGCTTTGCGTGCTACATAGATTGTGGCGACTTGAACTGCCGCACATATGTGCAAAGTTCTATGTCGAAAACAGACAGACAGAGTCCAGAAACAAAGATATGTTTCAAAACGTATATCGTTTGCATTAGTCTAGTCTGTGGCACGGAAAGTACAATGTTGTTCTGAAGTGATAACATAGTTTAACTACCCTTGCTGGACTTCTTTGAGTAAGCTGTGATAGTTATACTGATACATAATTTTGAGGGTTATCATGACAATAGCAAGCACAAAAGTGCATTGTACATGCTTGATTAAAACTCTGTGTGTTTAAATGTTTTAGCTACCTTTGCTATAAGTGACACTCATTCATCAGCTGTATGAAAACGCCACATGAGAAGTGATTCACAATGAACAGTCTTTTATTTGAAAACAGGAGTAAGACATGGCTGCCTTCTGTCACTGTTTATATTCTTGATTATGGTAGACTGAATCATGCAGCCGACAGTAGGAGCGAGAGGACGGATGCACGTTGGATAGACGAAAAACACTTTGTGGATAATTCATTTGTATTGTCACACAAACTCTGAAACCTACAGGTGAAAA